GTCACTGTGCTACCTAATTAACAGAACTGTCGTGAGGATCAAACAAACGGATGCACATAAAAAGCGTTAAAAATGATAAATACTACATGAATATAAGATTTGATTTTAATCTCTCTTTCGCTCATTACAAAAGAAATGTATGCCCGTTGTAGAAAATTTGGAAAACGTAGAAAGATTTAAAGGTGAAAAAAATGTTTAAACAATCTAATATTTTAGCGGTCTCTTCAGTCATTTTCTCTTTGCATATGTGTGCATGTATGTAGTTTTTTTAAACACACGCCAGGCGCATGCTTACGTGCTGTTTCGTCGTCTGCTTTTCTCCCTTAGCCGTATATCACCAACCTTCCCCAAGTCATTGGACAGTTTTCTGCAACATGGTTTTCAATGGCTGCAAAGTGTTCATAGACGTCGTCATTTTACCTTCAGAGCCCATTACTTCCTTCATTCGCAGGAGGAGAGTGAGTCAAGGGAAGTCCCCAAATGCCTCCTGCACCACAGAGCTGGCACGGGCCCAGGGACGCTGCCGGCACACTCCAACGCCTGAGTGCCCGGTGCCTACAATCCGTTGCCTTACTGTCCAGGAACAAACCAGATTACAAACGAGGAAGTCTCCCGGGGACTCAGCTGACCGCACCCACATCTGTGCAGTCGCTTCCCTGGGCCCTGGAGTCATTCCAAGCCCAGACGGCAGCTTTGCCGGATTCACCAGTAACTACACATCTGCACTCGGCACCCAGTGCACTGTGGGTGGCACTCCCCAGGAGGGGACAATCAAGCTCGCCTCGCCATTCCCCCTCACACTGGACCATTTGGGGAATAGCTTCCTTTCTTTGTCACCGGTGAGCTTCCCTGGGCTTTCATACTTTCAAAGCTCAGGTGGCCCCGGACCCTTCACGCGGCTCTCCTGCAGAATTGGTTTTCAGACTGTGCCACTTTAAACAGGACTCAAGAAAAATTACCGGAGCCTCCGCTCCATCTGTCTCTGGAAATGGTCTTTGTGCTCAGATCATTTGCCAGCGACACTCCATCTCCACAATTACCTTGGCTGTTTTATCTTTATCTGTCTGGAACACTGAAGGGGAAGCAGCAGATGAAGCCATTATTTAAGCGACTTCAGCGTAAATACTTTTGCACCTCAGAGCGTGAAATACCCCACTGCTGCATCGGCCTTTCCTGGGGGACCAGCCCCGGCACTGTCTCTGGGTTTTAAGCATGATAAAGAAGGGCTGCCATCGAAACGAAACGATTTCAAAATAATGGGGCTGCATCCTTATAAAGGCCAGGATGGGACTGAATGCCTGGCACAGCTAGAGCTGCCTATTCACATGCCACCGAGCCCCACGGGCGCCACGGCATAGGAGGGTATTTTAGCAATCCTCTGGGACTAGCGTGGCTTCTATGCAACCGGGAGTATGCTGCAACGGATGAGGCTGCAGCATGCCTGAAAGGGCAAGAGGAAAAGAGCAAGGATCAAACAGGATGTTAACCTACCTGGTCCCTACCCGTGTATCTTTTTCTGCACTTACTATATACACACACTATAGACACCAAGAGGAAGATGCTACCGCGTGCCTCCTGCCTTCAGGGAGATAAAATACCAAAAGATAATGAACAAAACCAGGCAGTACCTGCCGGGTTAATAATAATAGCCAGCACTTAGCGAGCTCTTACCACGTGCCAGGCACTCTGCTAAGCACTTCATCACATTTCTTATTTAGTCCTCACAAGGATCCTACGAGATGTACATGATGAGCCTCATTTTTCACAGGAGGACAGTGAGCTATAGCGAAATTAAACAACTGGCCCAACGTCACACAAGCAGCAGTTGCAGCCAGAGCTTTCTGCTTTGTAAGCAAGACCCTGCTGCTTCCAAAGGGAGCAGTTATGAGACTGAAGAGAGGGGCCCAGCCCCACTTTCTCATAAAGCCAGTTCATTGGCCGTTTCAAGTGTGAGGATCAGAAACCAATAAAAAGAAGGCAGGGCAGCCCCAGTGGGTGGTAAACAGGGCTCACCATGGCCCCGGTATTTCTCTAGAGACACATCCCTACGTATCGCACCCAAGCTGTGGTCCTTTCCATATTCTCTTCTCCTCTCCCTTTCTCTTTCTTTCTATTCCTGTCTCCCTTGAAAATGAGACTCTACATCTCCCACTCAATGACTGGGCCAAAACCAAGAGGAATACCAGCCACACGGGCCAGGGGAGGGTCCTCGGAGTCAACTCAGGTCATTGCTGAGCAGAGCCTGCGACAAATATGGCCTGAGAAGTCATATGAATCCAAGGTAAGGAAGGGAGCAAGAAGAGCCTGTGATAGTTCAGGACAAGCCACATCAGATCTTGGACCCAAGGTAAGAGAGTCGAGGCAGAGACAGGAAACGAGTTGTGAGGTCTGGCTTAGGTTTTGTGCCCAAGAAGAGGCTCTGAGACTAGTCTGAGTGTGAAGGGCTTATCTGGGAGGTGACTCTAAGAAGTAGAAGTAGCGGAGGGGAACAAAGATGAGGAGAGGAAGGAAGCGAAAACAAGACGTGTTAATAAGTTTACCATTCGGGACAATTGGGACCCAGACACACTGGGAACTCTGGGAGATGAGGTGGAACATACCTCGGAGCTGTCCTATCCAAGGGGCTACAGAGCTGGGGTTCTTGCCCATCAACGCCTTCACAGGAAGAGTCGAGGGCTGCTCCCACATAAGATAACCCCCGGCCTTTCGCTGGCCCCACCTGCTCAGGCTGAGCAAGCTCCATTGCAGCCAGAGGAAGCCCAGAGGCAGAGAGTCTCAGGTGCTGGCAGAAACAAGCCCTGATGGGGGTGCCTGGGATATATGACAAGGTCAGAGCCAGAGCAAACATAACTGGTCAGGAAAGAGTGTAAGGACATCGTGAAAGTCTTCAAGCTATAAAGAGGACAGAAGCACTGTGAGCTCCCCACTGCTGCCTGGCTGATGACCACATGACACAGGGATAGCAAGGCTGGGTTTCAAGGGTCAGGGCTGTGCTGATGGGAAGCAGGTCCCGTGGGCAAGTCGCTCGGGCCCTCTGCCCTTCATGGACCTGCTCTGTGGCACCTTCCTTGTCCCGGGCATGAGCTGGCTGACCAACCTGGGGATCAGACCTCAGGAAATGGGAGGGCACCCCGCCAGTCCTTGGTCCTCCTGCACCTTCTAGCTCCTCTCCCTACCCCCACTCTGCCCTCCACAGCGCCCCCATGCACTTGATCCCTGGGCTGGGGCGGGGTGATGTTGCTGCAGTGGTACCTTAGTTCTTTCAGCCCAGACCTACAGCCTGACCCTGTGATAGTGGCCCCAGAACTGTTACTCTGCAAATAATTATGACCAGGGCAAGAGGCGCAAGAGCCAATGCGAGGGCCTGAGACAGACATCTACAATTTCACATTCAGAAAAACCCAGACCTTTAAACAGAAGTGCAATTTCAGATGTCTCACTCCCTTTTTTCTTTAACCTTGGACTGAGGGAGGAATAAACCCTCTTTGATTTGTAGACTAAATTCTTTTAAAGCCAGCTTGTCCTTTTTTAAATTTATTTTTTCCTTTTGCTTGGGGCAGGAATCAGGAGCCCAAAATGGGAACTGGGTACCTTGGTCAGAAGGCTCAAAATGCCAAAATTTACCATAGGGAATATCTTGCTTCCAATCCATCTTTCCTGCTAATGCAGAAGTCAAATAAGTCCATGGAGGGCTTTTTTTCCCCTAGAATTTCAGGCTCCCTGAAGACTAATTTCTCTGAAAGCTGCATTAAACTAATAGCACCATAAAAGGCCCATTGTGAGATGTAATTGGTTTGCAGGACTTTCCTATAAAAATAATAAAAAGACTGCCAAAGGCAGTTTCCAAAGGTCAATTATCTTTGTGTTGCTGGAGTTGAGTGGAGGTCAGTCCCAGAATTCCATTTTATAGGCCTATTAATCACAACTGGGCCTGCCCTGCCCATCTGACCCCATCAGCTGTCAGACAAGTCACAGGTTCCACCTTATGCTGATGGCCGAAGGGCGCTCTGGGCTCCTTCTTTCCCAGAAAGAGACTGGTCCATCGCCACAGTGAATGTAGAGCTGGAAGCTGAAGTTTTCACGACAGAATGGAAGGGAAAAAAGCAACATCCTGAGCACGAAAAAGAAAAGATGATGACTCAGTGAGTCAGGCAGGCCATGTACCAGGCAGTGTGCTTAGAGACTAGGTTAGATAGGGCCCCTGTCCCCAGGGAGCTGGAGAAGTGCCTTCGATACGATTCTTGGTTGTATTTGACCAAAACCAATGTAAACCAGCTTAAGAAAAAGTGAAAAGTTTAGTTGGCTAACATAACTGGGAATCTGAAGGATGGCTGGATCCAAGCGCTCAAGCACCGTCAACTCATTGATGAGAGAATGTTCTCATCTATCTCTGTCTCCCTGGGTCTGTCTCTGCACTGCTGGGCCTTGCTCTCAGACACGCTCTCTGCCACGTGGCGGGCAAGAAGGCATCAAACTGCCTTTGTTGCCCATTTTCTCAGTTGAGCTATTTCAGTAGAAAGAGACTTTCCCTTCTAGTGTTCACATATCAATTCCAGGAAGAAATGCTGGTTAGCCCTGTTTGGATCATGGCCCACCCCTGGATCAATCATTGTGTCCACGGAGCTGCAAGAATATGATTTGCTCAGACTGGGTCATTTGTTCACCCCTGTGGCTAGGAAGTCTGAAGAGACAGGGCGTGCAGCATAGTTGACAATTAACAAGATCACACGAAGTGCGGGGAAAGGAGGTTGCCCCAAGCACAGCATGCTGGCAGACAAAATCCTGCCCACCCAAGGGCCACCAGTTAACTTAAGGTGTCTAAATTCCAAATAGTCCATTTGTCTATCCAACCTTCCTTTCTTCCACCCATCCACCCACCCATCCACCCATCCATCCCTCCATCCATTTACATATCTAGCAAAAGTGCAGGTTTTACAGGAACAAATTCTTCTCCTTCTTGCCCCTGCTCAAAATAAAATCTGAAAAGCAATTGCTCTTGCAGGATCCTAAGTTTCTAAAAGAATGAATTATCCTCACATCCTAGAGTCTGCAAGTCTCAATAAGGATGCATTAAAAAGTATATGAGGCTACACACCAAAATATTGACAACGGTTCTCTCGAAGTGGTGTGTGTGGCTCCTGCAGATCAGGTTTTCTAATCTTTCTGCAATGAAATTTTATTGCTGTGTAATTTTAAAAAGGAAAAAATAATTCTAAAAAACCTCTCAATCTCATTAATCTGATTCTATATGCACCAAAGAATTTTTTGGGGACTTAAACTGGTTTCCCGAGTCAACTTTGCTGTTAAGGAGAGAATAGGCTGACCGTCCAGAACTCTCAGTAGCTATGTCTTTCAGTAATAATACTTCTCAGCCATGCTAGCTCAGCAAGTCTTTAAGAGTCTTAGACACGGAAGTCTCCTGCTCACAAAGTGCTGGCCAAAGTGCTGGCCCAAGAGCCGGCCTCTTCTCCGCAAAACTTGAAGGCAACGTCCAAGGTCTGGAGGATGAAAGTGTTTGCATCGTCACAATAGGTCTGTGGTGGCTGACCACACTTGCGCTGGCCACAGAGCCATTGCTCATTAGCAGCCAAGTAAAAGCCAGTGCCTTCTCTATCATCTACAGGAGGAGGTGGTCTCGATAAAATCAGTGACTGTCCACACTGAGCATGAAAGGGATGTGCCCTTCTTGGGAACAGTGGCAGAAATGTTTCAGCCGGGGTGGGGGTCTCCATAAAGAGTCATTTCTGTATTGGGAATAAAAGTGGAAATTATCAGATCTTTGAGACAGATTAATCTTAGATCTTAATATTCTGAATAGGATCAAAGTGCCTTGGAACAGTACAGTACTTTTCATGGAGTCCTTTGTCACACAGGTATGGAAATACACATTTATGTCAGTCAAAACTATTTTAAACGATTATATCCAGAGTTATCTTGGAAGAGGTAGGATTGCTGGTCAAATGAGGAATACAATTTTTAAAGGATGTTGGTGCTTCTCAAACATGAAACTGTTAAATGATCGAATACTGAGCTATATATATATAATATTCACATGGACTCTATTTCCCAGGGAAATAGCTACTATTCAGAAATAAACTTACATTTACTATTCATCTCCTATGATTTATGCATATTATTTCAAGTAGTTCCTACAACAACCCTACAGGCTTTCAAAGGTGGGAAATTAATGAATAAAACTAGCAACTGGAAGAACCAGAGTATAACCCAAGTCTGTTGACTCCATCCCATTCTTCCTTCCATGAGCCCTGTGTGCCCTTCTCAGCAACGTCCCAACTGTATCTGCTCGTAACATGCAGGTCCATAGGCATCACACGGATGATAAGCTTGTGCACTGTTCAGGTGCCCCATTTTCTGCATCAACTCCATCTTAACATGCAGGCATTGGAAAGAGATGCTGAGTGAGAAAAACTCAAAAGAAAAGGGAAAATAGAAGGTGGAGTTAGCTGAGAAAGAGTAAAATCAATTTAATTTGGAGTCCTTCCTCCACTACACAGAAAGGAGAAGCTGAGCAGTGGGTTCTGGACGAGCTTGGCCATTTCTGGCTTAAATATAACCTCTTCAGAGGAAATTTCCTCAAGTGTCAGGTGGGCACAATTCTAAAATGTAACGCTAAACATCAGCAGGGAAATAAACCCTGTGGTTATAAATCCCATAAGGAAATTGTAAAAATGTCTCCGACTAGATAACAGCATGACACACCAATGTTCCAGAAAGACAAACATAAACATAAGTTGCTACCTCTTCTTAAAAAAGAAGAGATAGTGACAGATTCACTCCAGCCACTTTGCCGAGTCCTTCCCATTAGTTCTTGGAAAGTTACAAGGCCCCTGGGCCTGTTCTCAGACATCGCTTTCTGGGAGGGGTGCTGGGCAATCTGGGTTTATTTCTTCTAATGCTCAGACTGGGGAACCTACAAGTCTTTCTTTAGAGCTTTAGAGAAAACAAGACTGGCTTATCAGTAATGTGGCTTTTTTGTTGCTGTTCTTTACAATAACAAGAGGATTTGGATACACACTTGGGTTTATGAAGTATAAATCCTGTTTAAATCTATAGAGGTTAAGAAGACATGCGATGGTTCTTTGGAGACGAAAGCAGCACTGTGTCAAATTGTCCTGAGCAATGTTCTTTGTTGTTGTGAGATATTGATAAATCTCCGGGTCTTCAACAAGGGGAGTCGAGAATAGGAAACTCATTTCAAATCATACCTCAGGTAGGCGTCTGAGCCAAAATAAGATGAAAGTCATTAATTTTTTTTCTATTAAGCCACCAAGCACAGGTGGAATGATTCTTTCCTTTCTTTATTTCTATCTGAAATGTTAAGAACAAGAGGCAAGATTCCTGTCCTAAATCTTCAGAATACTGAACAAAATCATTCTTTTCCTTTTTCCTTAGCAAAAACAACAAGGTGTGAACAAAACTGTCACTTAGTGTGGTAATTAATACAGGGAGATATAATTAGCTGCGACAAGCTTTCCTTTCTCATCTCAAACATCACTGATGCCAAGGAGACTAACATCTATATCACCGTTAGGGTAATAAGCCCACCTGATGGATAGGTGTGTTCTACCTGTCTTCGTCTGGTAACACAATGTCGCAAATTAATTTCTGAACGATTTCCCAAGGCCTCTTTATAGGTGAAAGAGTCACAGAGGCAAAATGCTTCCGCAGGCAAAGCTTCACATCGACAAACACGAACAGCCTTAGAACGAACCACTTACCTTTCTGTAACAACATAAATGTGGGCAGCACCAGTAAAGCAGCCAAAAGCTGATCCTGAAACTCAGGGCAAGGCTGGAACAATCTCTGATGGTCACAACGAGACAGCTCCTGAGTGTTTAAGCACCTAAAGCAAGACCCACACTGCCATCAGTCTGCGTAACACCCCACAACAAAAACGATTAAAACATCATCCTTAGCAAGCTGGATTTAGATGAGGTTGTGCAAATTATTTATACTACACCTGGCTTTCCTTTTGTTTCAAGAAAACCAAGGCTGTTCAGTCAGAAAATAATATCTAGGCACGCAGGTTGCCTAGTAATAAGCACGCTGCTCCTTTAGCTGGATCATTCCATCGCTGCTCTCCACCCCTTCTCTCCACCTAAAACAAAACACAAGCTGCTGGTGGTCCTGTTACTTTCTCCCTCTGCCCAATTTCCTGCCTACATCTCCCTACCTCACTTCTCACCGCTCCCTGTAGCCTACATACTTAAGTCAGTTCACTGTGGTCTTTGCTTCCCACATGTTTTTAAACTGGGAGCTGTAATGTGGTCTTCCCCACATAATCAGTTATAAGGTATAATTATTTCTTTTGGGTAGAATTACCATTCCAACAGGTTTATTAATTCTTCAGGAAACAGGAGTTGCGCAATATTTGAGTTGGGAGTTCTTCTTCCAATGTATCTGCTGCGAGCTTTCTCCAGTGCACAAATCCTGTCTTTGATGGCCTGATTCAAGATCTTTTTCCCTCTGCTTAAATGCTTCAGGGTAGGTCACCATATTTGAAGCAACTTGTTGCATTGACAGACTGCAAATATCTGTAGACAATTCTGCCTTACATTTTCTGGAGGCTGTCTCCTATAACTTAAGTCATTGATACTGGTTCCACTCTCAGGTGCTCTAAAGAACAGGGGCAAATTCCCCTTCCAACTTGGTAACTCCTCAACCAACTGGAGACAGAGGTTTCCTCCCCCTTAGTAAGAGGGTTGGGCTCAAACAGCTGCAATAGCCAACAGTTGTACTAGGCAGGCTATGCGGGACTCCAGGGAATCAGAGAGCAGCTCATCCAAGAGGACCAGCAGTGACTGGCACCAAATGACCATTGTCATAGATGAATGAAAATCCAAGGCTGCCAGATCTCTCAAATTTCCAAGTGAAGCATGAAATCTGGATTTGTACGTGAAATTCTCAGTTTTTGAAAGTTGACAACCAAGTCAGAAAATAATTTTAAACACCATGGAGGCCAAGTGAAACACATCTGCAAGCCAGATCCAAATCACAGAACACAGGTTGGAATCCATTTCTCTAAAACCTTCTCTTCTCCAAACCAGTGGTGTGGTGGTTTGGATGACAATGGCAAATGTTTGGCATCCTTTTTTATTTTTATTGTCCTACACATTGGCCCGCAGAAATGGTTAAGTGTCTTGCTGACAGTATATATTTGCGCTTACCTGGAGGTTTTCCTTTTTAAACCTTTTCAACCAAGCTAATCCCCCATGCAAGGCTGTCTGTATAAATACAAGTTGGATGGCTATAAGTTACTTAGATAGTTAGCCAACATCATATATGCTAGTGTGGCCTTAGGAACTTCATCTAATATCTCTGAGCTCCTATTTCCTCATCTGAACTCTGGGATAAAAAACACCTTCCTTGGTGGAACTTAATTACTACCATCCCTTCATGGGTTGAGCTTTCACTAGAATGAGTGACTCACTTCCAAAGAACAAAGTATGGAAAGAGAAAAACAGTAAATTTACAATGGAGAAACCCAGAAAAAACTACCTTAACTAAATAATCAATGTGAACATCACCTGTGGCTACCGTGTACCACCTGATATGAAGTGATTAGAAGAGCACTTCACCTCCACGGTATTCTTCTCAAAAAACCATAACTCCAATCTAATCATGAGAAAAGCATCAGACAATTTCATATTGGAGGACATCTACAGGATAGTGTTTCAAGAAGGAAGAAGTAGTCAGTTGTGTCAAAAGTTGTGGACAGATTATATAAGATTAGGAAGGAAAATCTTCTACTGACTTGAGTGTTTCCAGATGTGTGGCTGGAGACTGAAGCTAGAATGGTGGGGACTAAAGAGTGAGTAGGACCAAGGATAGATAATGGGTTCAAGAAGATGTTCTGGAAAAGAAAGAAGAGAAATTGGGGTATGAGCTGAAGGAGGATGTGAAATCAAGGAAGATTGTCATTGGTTTTTGATGGGCCATGCCAATGAATATCTACAAGCTAATGGGAACAATCCTATAGAGTAGGATAGATGGATCGTGCAGGACAGAGGTAATAAAACTTGCTGAAACAGCAAGTCCTTAAGAAAGTAAGGAGATGGCATCCAGAGCACAAGAAGAGGTGGCCTTTGATAGAAGTGGAGACACTTCTCGCCTCTTAATGTGAAGGAAGTGAAGACAGGCAAAGCTTCAAGTGGACTTATAAGTTTGTTAGTGGGAAGATTATGGCTTCTACATTCTCAGTTAAGTAAGAAGCAAGGCATGAGTTAAAAGTCAGAAGGTAAGGGGTGAGGAGGGTGGTAAAAAGAAGGCAGTCGGAGCACACACACATGGGGAGCCTTGCCAGTCCATTACGGCAATGCGGGAGGGTCAAGGGAGCTGAAAGTGTCTGCAAGGAAATGTTGGGGAAGTGGGAGAATCCCCCCGCCCAGCCCCCCGCTTTTCCTTAAGGTTCTTATGGCTGGTCAAATAATCAAAGAGACAGGCTAGTAGGAGAAAACTAAACAAAATTTAATAGCATGTATACATGGGAGAAACCCAGAAGAAAGTGAGTAACTCATCATCTGGCTGAGGCTGCCTGTTAAAGCATCTTCAGCTACAGACAAGGAGGACGTTGGGGATAGTGATTTGGGGCTTCAAAGGGGAGGAAAACAATGTATATAGAGATGGAATGCAAATGTTTGTTAAACAGGTTTTGCTAGCCCAAAAAATGGGTTTGTTGGTGTCCTTTTAGCACACCTATTTTACATCATACTACAGCTATCATGTGGTATGGACCCCTTCCTGGAACAGGCCTTCTATGTTAAAGTCTTTTAGGCAGTTTGCAAGGGGCGGTGGAGGGCAAGGAAGGTGGTCAGATGCCCTTCCTGAGTCTTTTGAGCCTTTATTGTCATCAGCTCGAAATAGTCTGCATAACAGGTGGCCTGCCCTGAACCCCATCAGAAACAACAGTAACTGCGAGTCCAAAAATTCCAGGTAAGGAGGGAAAGGAAGAAAAGAGATGAGTGGTGACAAAGTTGTGGAGTCTATGTTTCGAAGGGCTCAACCATGTTGGAAAACTATTTGCATTGGTTATTCTAGAGCATATTTTCTAAAAGAATAGGAGGCTGCTGTCAGAGAACAGAATATTTAAAGTCAACCATTCAAAACCGGTGGAATAATTGGATGATGACCCGAGGTGGAAGGAAGGAAAAGTTGTTGGAAGTGAGGAGCTCAAGGAACTGATAGCCCAGGGCATTGTGTGGGTCATCCACATAGTTGCTGAAGTCATCAGAAGCAATTTGAGGAGTAGGCATGAAAAAGCAAGCACACAATGAGCCATGAGCTAAGTGAGGCCTTTGAGGCATGAGGAGAATGAGCAGGAGGTGAGGAGGTAGTAAATGAAATTCAAAGGGTTGGTGGGTGATAAAGCAGGATGGCCCAACTTCAAACACAGATATTTTGAAGTAGAAAAGTGAATAATGAAAAACAATAGGATATATTGGAGTATATGAAGAAGCCATTTGGTTTAAAATTAATTCAGCGTGACCTTGTTTTTCCAGAAAGGCCTGATGTGGCCTATTGAGCATGCATCGTATATCTGCTTTAAACATTTACAATGTCCCAAAGACAAGAATGATGCCCTTAAAGACAGAGATGTATCTCCCCCCACTGCCCAATATTGACACTTCTTTAAGAATAAGTATCTCTTCCTAGAAACGAAGGATTAGTTACCAACCTGCTAAGTTAACCTTGTGACCATTGACCTGCTGTGCCAGCAAAGCTATCTTGTGACTCTTATAAAAGGGATACTCCTCTTGTATGTGATGTATGCTCTTTGTTCTGAGATGGTATATAACCACTCTGTACACCCCACTTCTTTGGTGCCCTTCCTTCCTTGGGGAAGGAAGCCCCTGGGCTATAGTCATCAGACCTGGCTCATATAATACACTCACCTCGATTTTGATTTATAGATTGCTTGTGGATTATTTGTGTCAACAAAAGCATAGGAATTAAAGTAGAAATGAAGAGCAAGGATGACACCTACTCCATATCCTCAAACTGAAGAGCACAGAGTATGTGAGATTTAAGAAGAAAAAGATCTCCACTCAAGACAGCTACAAAGGAAGCAGGGGTGGGCCAAGTCTCCATTAAGGCAAGGAGAAAAGGAAGGGAATTTCCATTCAGAATAAAAGGTTGAGGATGTAGGAAGTTTGTTGATCACAGGTCATAGTTTAAAGGGCACAGTAAGAGAGGGGAGAGATAAGCTATTGGGTCAGTTTGAGCAAGATGACAATGGGATGGCTGGCGGAGCTGTGCTTCCATCAGAGATTGAGGAAAACCTCAGTGTCATGATGTGAGGCATGAGAGGATTAGTCAGAGGCATATTAGTTCAAGTCTTGCCTCTGAAAATTGAGCGCCATGACCCAGGAAGCCACTCCCTCTCTCACTAGTGAGGCCCCATGGGTCTGAAGAGGATCTTCTCTTGAAGATAAGATGCTGTATGTAGAGCAGCCATTCTCAAGCCTGGCTGCACATGGGAGCTTTAAAAAATCCAGATGCCCACATCACACCCAAGCCAATGAAATCAGAGTCTCTGGGGGAGGAACCCAGACATGAATATTTTTTAAAGTTTCCCAAGTGATTCTCATGTGCAACCAGATTTGAGAATGTGGGTTTCACTTCCAAAGATTCTGGGGTGTGGCCTAGCCATTGTGATGGTGGCTATGCTGTTATTGTTACACTTATTAAGTCCCTTTGCATCATCACAATGAGAAGGCGGAAAAGGAATTGTTTTTGTTTAAATGGCAAAGAACAGTGTTATTTTGGAACTGGAGGAAAGAGTTCCTAGCATTCTTTCTCAGATTAAGTGTAAGAAAGACCAATCACTTATGTGAAAGAGACAGAATTGGCACAATGTACTTTAATAGCCATTCAATCTTCTAATACCTATTTAAAGAGCATAATAGGGAGCATTCTTGACTATAGCCATTCAGACAGCAGTTAAGAAATTTTCACAATGTTTATTATCCATTCACCTGACCTCTTAGGACAATACTTTAAAACCTTCCAGGCAATTATTAGGAGCAAGGAGATGGTCTTTAGATAATAACAGTAATTAAAGTTGACAGTTATTGAGCACTTACTATGTGTTAGGCTCTGTGCAAATATCACATGTGGTCTCCTGGAATCCTCATAACAATCCTAGGAGATGGGCACTGCTATTATGCCCATTTTACAAAAGAGAGTCTCAAGGCTGGAGAAGTTACTTAACCTGCTTGAGATCAAACAGCTCTAATGGGAAGGGTATGGATGCAAATTTAGATGTCTCTCTGGTCCCAAAACCTGTGTGCTTTTATCCACGATGCCATCCTGTCCACTTACAAGATTCCACGAGACATGAAAGAGAATAGGATTGCGGGCAAAGATGGAGGCATTTGCTTTAGAAAGGTAGAGACATGCTCTCTTCCCTGATAGAATGAAAAGAGAATGGGTAGCTGGGGAAAAGGACATAAAGGAATTTGAAAGTGAAGGGGAGAAAAACTTAAAAATTCTAAAATTTACAAGGACACATTTATATTTCCTAAAGTGCTTAGCACAATAAATTGTATACAGTAGAAATGCAAAGCACGCTGTCGACTGGATATTTTTTCAATTGTCATTGTATCATTAAATGAGAACTCTTAAGGGAAATAGTTGATTTGTCAAAGGACTCTGGAAAGTTTTTGTTCATTTTTTAAATTCTCATATGTTTATAATCATATTGTTTGTATAAATATCTTAGAAATATAATATAAACATAAACATAAGAAACATATGTTTCTTATGTATAACATATACATATATATACATAAGAAATATGTACATAAGATATAACATAACATATAATATAAACATAAGAAAGAAAGAAAGAGGAAGAAAGAAAGGAAAGGGGTAGGGAGGGGGGAGGGAGGAAAGAAGGACACATTCTTCCTACCAGTATAAAGACAGCTAATAAATGGAGAAGGAATAATAGATTAAGAAAATCACCATTTAGCAAAATATTATAATTGCTGTTGATTTAGGAAAGAATCATCAATTGTTCTAAAACTAGTGGGTAAAGTTTAAAGAGGAAAGAACATTGACATAGTTTCAAATTATTTACCTACTAGATATTTAGTAGTTACAACATATTGAAGAGTAAATTTACAGTGCAGAAACATGAAAAATAGTACTTAAGCAAATTATTACACTTAACATGGTCAGTAATGGGACCAACCATCTGCCTCCTGATATGATGCATTGAGAAGAACTCAGCATCACTTGTGCCAAAGCATATGACCTAAAGGAAATCATAATAAAACATTAAATAAAATCATGTTGAACTTGAAAAATAACCTTTAGTGCCATAAAATACAAGGAAAGACTCAAGATCTGTTTCAAATTAAAGGGGTCCAAAGAGATACGGAAACTAAATATAACATATGGTATCGGATTTTCATTTGCTATAAAGAACATAATGGGACAATTTGTAAAATCTCAATAAAATCTGTAGATCAGAAAATATTATTAAATCTGTGTTAATTTTCTGGGGTTGATTTTATTGGAGTTATGTGACAGAGTTCCTTGTTTTTAGGAAATACACTCTGAAGTATATAGGGATAAAGAGACATCATTTTTATAACTTACTCCTAAATGGGTTTAGAAAAAAATAGATAAATGAATAAAGCAAATGTAGTAAAATGATAACAATTGGATAATCTGAGTAAGGGTATGAATGAATTCTCTGTACTATTCTTGCAACTTTTCCGTAAGTCTAAAAATAAGTGAAAATAAAAAAATTTTGTTGAATAAGCCTCTAAGGTAATCACAAGCAATGTAACTGTCTACAAAACAAACCTGCCCCCGTCTTTAAAGGAAGACAACAAAATCTAGACACTCAACAGTGTAATACTCACAACATCTAGCATACAATAAAAAGTTACCAGATACGCAAAGATGTGGGAAAATATGACCCAAACCTGGAGAAAATTCACTCAATAGAAATAGCCATAAATTACAGAGATAATATAATTAGTAGACAGGGATTTCAAAACAGCTATGGTCAATATGCTCATGAATGTAAAGGAAAGCATAAAATACAGAGGAGAGAGATGGGAGATATAAAAAGTAACCAAATGAAGCTGCTAAAGCCGAAAAATACAATATCTGAAATAAAAAATTTACCGAAGGGGGTTTAACCACAGACTAAACACTGCACAAGGAAATACTAATAAAACTTTGAGACATAAAAATAGAAACTATCCAAAGTGAATAACAAAACAAAAGGCTGAAAATAAACAAACAGAGGAAGCAAGGCCTATGAGATGCCATCAAACTGTCTAACATAAAAGCAATAGGATCTCAAAAAGAGAGTGAGCACAAAAAAACTTGAAGGAATAATGTCCAGATTTTTTCCAAATTTTATGAAAACTATAAGCTTACAGATCCAAGAATCTCAATAACCTCCAAGCAGTACAAACACTAAGAAAACCACACCAAAGCATATCATAATCAAATCCTAAAAATCAGTTATAAGGACAAATTTTGTAAAGCAAAAGACACATTACATTCAGGGGAACAAAGATATGAGCATTTATAAACTTATAATCAGAAATAATACCAACCAGAAAATAACATAAAAACAACAGAAGGAGAGGCTGGTAAAAGGGAACAAACTTCCAGTTAGAAGGTGACTACGGTCTGAGGATCTAACGTATAATATGGCAACTATGGTTGATAACACTGTATTGTATAAGTGAAATTTCCTGAAAGTAGAACTTAAATGTTCTCACCCCCAAAAAATGCTCTCAGGCCCCCAAAAAGGTAAAAACATGAGGTGATGGATGTGTTAATTAATTTGATGGAGGGAATCCTTTCACAACGTAGATGTGTATCAAACCATCACATCCTAGACTTGAAATATCTTACAATTTTATTTGTCAATTATACCTCAGTAAAGCTGAAAATAAACCTCAGTACAAAAGCAGACAGGGAAAGAGGAACCATGAGCAGAGGGGACAAATAGAAAACAAACCCCAAGATGGTAGACACAAACTAAACAATATTGATAACTGCATTAAATGTGACTGGTCTAATACCACCAATTAAAAGGGCAAGATTCCCTTACTGAACTTAAAAGAAAAAGCAATAGCCAACAATGTTCTATCTACAATAGGCATATTTTAATATAAAGATACCAATAGCCTAAAAGTAAAAGGATATAAAAAGATAGAATATGAAAACACTAACAATAAGAAAGCTAGAGTGACTATATGAATATTAGAGAAAGTAGACATTGAGACAACCAATATTACCAGGAATAGAGATATTTAATAATAATAAGAGGACCAATTTATCAAGAAGACACAATCCTAAATGTCTATGCACTAATTTCAAAGCTTCAAAATATATGCAGCAAAAACAGACAACAGTGAAAGGATAAATAGACAAAACCAAAATCAAATTGGGAGATTTGACACTCCGTTCTCAGTAATTGATAGAACAAGTAGGCAGGAAATCAGTAAAAACATAGAAGACTCGAACAACACTAGCATGTGACTTCACCTAATTGACATTTATACAACATTCCACCCAACAAAAGAAAAATACACATTCCTTTCAAGTGCACATAGAACAAGTACCAAGATAGTCCATATTCTCGCCCATAAAACAAGTCTCAATAAATTTGGAATGATTCAGTGTATACATGTTCTCTGATGACAACAGAATTAAATTAAAAATCAGTAACAAAAAGATATCCGGAAGAGCACCTAAATGTTTGGCAACTTAAAAACATGATTCTAAACAGCCCAGGAGTCAAAGAAATAGTCATAAAGGAAAGTAGAAACCAATTGAACTGAATAATAATGAAAACACAACATATTAAAATTTGTGAGATGCATTTAAAGCAGAGCTTAGAGGGAAATACATATCTTTAAAGCCCATATTTTTTAAAGAAGGAAACAGCTAAAATCAATGACCTCAGGAAACTATAAGAAGAAGAGAAGAACCCAAAGTAAGTAGAAGGAAAAAAATACTAAGTATTAGAGCAGAAATCAATGAAATAAAAAACTGACAATAGAGAAAAATCAATGAAATAAAAAGTTAGTTCTTTGGAAAGATGAATAAAATTTTATTGATAAACTCCTAGCTAGACTCTCATAAAGAAAGAAAGAGAGAAGATTCAAATTCCCAACATCCAGAATGAAATAGGGAGGACCTGTACAGATTCTAGCAATGGTAAGGGTAGTAAAAGAATATTTTGAACACCTTTATGTCAATAAATTCAAGTTAAATGAAATACACAAATTTCATAAAAGATACAAATTATCAAAAGTGCCACAAGATGAAACAGAAAATCTGAATAGCCCTACATCTATTTAAAACCTTCCCACAAGAAAAATGATTATTTCAGATGGCCTTACTGGCAAATTATATCAAATATTTAAGGAAGAAACAGTACCAATCCTACACAAAGTATTTCAAGAAATAGTGGAGAAGGAGCATTTCCCAGTTCAGTTTATGAGGCCTGAAAAACCTTGATACCAAAACCAGACAAAGACATTACAAGAAAATTACAGACCAAGAACCCACCTGAACATAGTTGTGAGAGTCCTTAACAAAATATTAGCAAATCTAATTCAACAATGTATAAAAATGATAATATGTATGACCAAGTGGGGTTTACCCAAAGAATGCAAGGTTGGTTTAACTTTTGAAAATCAAAGTAATTCACCAAGTCAATACAATAAAAGAGGAAAAAATAAATGGTTATCTCAATACATGCATAAAAAGCATTGGTGAAATTCAGTATTCTGCGTGATCAAAACCTGTTAGCAAACAATAAACAGAAGGGAGCTTCCTCAACCTAATGAAAGGCAAAGGCATCTGTGAACATCCTACAGCTAACATCATACTTCATGATGAAAGACTCAAACTTTTCCCCCAAGATCAAGAAAAAGGCAGAGATGTTGGTCTCATTTCAATTTAACACTGTACTAGAAGTCCCCGCCAGTACAAGTATGGTGATTACAAACAAACAAAGAAACAAACAAGTAATAAAAAGCATACTGATTGGAAACAAGCAAAATTGTCTTTATTTGCAAAAAAAAAACACCATGATTATGGTCACAGAAAATCCTATGTCATTCCAAAAAGCTGTAAAACAAATGAATTTAGCAACATCATGAGATACAAAATGCATATACAAAAATCAATTGTATTTCCACAAACTAATAACAAATGGAAAACAAAATTTAAAATACCACTTACAATGATGTCAGAAAACGCAAAATACTTAGGCATAAATTTAACAAAATATGTGCGATATCTGTACACTGAAAATTATAAAAGGTTGCTGGGAGAAATTTTAAAAGATCGAAATAAATGGGGGACATTACCATGTTCATGAGTTGAAAGCCTCAGTATTGTTAAAATGACAGTTCTCCCCAAATTGAGCTATAGATTCAATGCAATCCCAACCAAAGCCCTAACAGGCTATTTTGTAGAAACCAACAAGCTGATTCTAAGCTCTATAGAGATATGCAACGGACCTAGAATAACAAAAAAATAATTCTGAAGGAGAAGAAAAATGTTGAGGATCTTGCACCGTCCAATTTCAAGACTTGCTGTATAGCTATTGTTATCGTGACAGATAGACACAGAACTACAGAACAGGAGGGAGAGCTCATAAACAGAACTACTCAAATGCAGTCAACTGCTTGTCTACAAATGTGCCAGGGTAATTCAATGGGAAAATGCCAGTCTTTGCAGCAAATCGTGCTGAACAACTGGATATCCACGTGGAACAAAGTGAACCTGTACTCTAACCTCATCCCATACATAAAATTAACTCTCAATGGGCCATAAATATAAACATAAAATCTAAAACTATAATAAAACTTCTAGAGAAAAACAGAGATAAAAAAATCACACTGTCTTGGAATAGGCAAAAATTACTTAGGACAAGAAAAGTACAAACCTCATAAGGAAAAAAGGATAAATTGGACCTTATTGAAATTAAAAATGTTTGCTCTTCAGAATACACTGTTAAGGAAATGAAAAGGTAAGCCACAGACTGGGCAAAAATACCTGTAATACCTATATCTGACAAAGGCTTTATATCCAGAATATACAAAGAACTTTTACAACTTAAGAAGAAGATAAAAAATGAGCAAAAGATTTGAAGACACTTCACAAAATATGACACATGAGTGGCCAAAAGCACATGAAAAAAAGCTTAACATTATGAGTCATTAGGAAATACAAATTTGAACCACAATGTGATGTCACTATATATCCAATAGAATGGCTTGAAAAAGTACTGACAATACTGAATATTGACAAGGATTGGAGTAATTGGAGTTCACACACATTGTCAGTATGAATGTAAAATGGTCCAATCCGTTAGGAAAACAGTTTTGCAGTTTCTTAGCAAGTTAAATGTACACTTACCCCTTGATCCAGCAATTCTGTTCCTCAGTATTTACCCAAGAGAAATGCTATTTGTCCACATAAAGACTTGTACGTGAAGGATCATAGCAACTTTATTCATAATAGCTAAACACTGGGAACAACCTGAATTCTCATCAACAGGCAAATCAACAAACAAATTGTGTTATGTAGATATAATGGAATATCACTCAGCAATAAATGAATGAATTACTGATATACACAACAACACGGGTGAATCTTAAAAATCATTACACTACATGAAAAAAAAGCCAGGCACAAAAGAGTACATAGTATATGATTCCATTTATGTGAAATTCTAAGAACGACAAAACTATATACAATGATGAAAAACAGACCCATCAGTGCTTAGGCTAGACGGGGGCTGAGGATATTTACTGCCAAGGGGCAGAAGGCATTTGGGGGGACGGTGATTGTGGCCGTGATTACTTGGCATACGCATTTGTCAAAACTTACCCAAACTGTACACCTAAAATACGTGCTTTTATTATATGTAAGTTATATCTCAATTATATCTTTGATTTTTAAAAACAAAATACATCTATATATACTTATTTTAAGTGTCCAGAAAGATAAACTCAAAATTATAAAACAGTAGTATTTCGGGGCTGGCCCTGTGGCTGAGTGGTTAAGTTCGTGCGCTCCGCTGCAGGCGGCCCAGTGTTTCGTTGGTTCGAATCCTGGGCGCGGACATGGCACTGCTCATCAAACCACGCTGAGGCAGCGTCCCACCTGCCACAACTAGAAGGACCTACAATGAAGAATATACAACTATGTACCGGGGGGCTTTGGGGAGAAAAAGGAAAAAAATAAAATCTTTAAAAAAAAAAAGAAAGAAACAGTAGTATTTCATAGGTGATATTAAAATTTTTACCAACTGGGAATTATAAGCACCAATCAGAACAAACACTGGGCATGAACGATCGGCACAGCCAAGCCATGTGAATGAGAAGAGCGTTAGCCCAGGAAAACAACAGTTATCAATAGATGGTGGGATTATTGATGTCCTTTTTCTTCTTTTCGCTTATCCATATTTTCTAATTTTCTATACGTATTTTCAATCAGGTACTTTAAAATAAGGAAAAGAAATTTATTTTTAAATATAGAAAAGAAAAATGGTACCCTATTGATATCACCTTACATAGTTATAAAATTCTAATGGGCCTCAAAACCCTAATGGAAATTTTAAATAATAGATATGAGAAATGGTGTACTAAAACAGCATTGAATTAGAAGTTAAAAATGAACAATGCCATAAAAATATTTCCTATCTACTACAAAGAAAATAGTGAGATATATTTTTTAACTATTTTACCATTTTAATATTTAAAAATGCCCTCCTTTTGCTCCTGTTCCAAGTAGATTTCCATATAATTGATTACATTTAAGAGAAAGCTAGTATCTTTCCTCAAATTGTCCAGTCTCTGAAATGCCATCCTGCTCAAAATTCATTTTCCAATGGGTATTTTGGCCTAGGTCAAACTTTAAAATCTGGCTGAGCAAATCAGGAAATCAAACTATAATTATCAACACTGAATAAAATTTAACAGCAAAATTACAGCCTATGACAAGGAGAGTTGTGGCCATCTTCTCTTAGCATGATTACCTCCATCTCTATGGCTTATCACAGCAACCAATCTTTGCTCTGAGCAATTTCCCCAGAGGTAAGCACAATGAAAACCTGGCTATAAGAGCAGTCACTGAGAAGCTCTGATCAGCAAATAATGACCAGGGAATCTCCTTTATCACGTTTCTCTCTATCAATAGAGAAACCATACCGGCTCCCCATCAGTCCAGTTGAGAGTCAATGGCTGGTTTAACAACATGACTCCTTTCTGAAACTCTGAAACCCCAGGGTAAAATGATGCTACTATACAATCTCCTAATGTTGCTTTACAATGCAGCTCAAATTTGTGATTTTAAAAGCATTTCAGCCCACGGTGAGTTCACAGTTATCTTTAATGATTTGCAAGTCTCAGTGTTTTTAACAGCTCATTTTTGGACTGTGGCAATGGCGTTAACACCTGTACCTAAACAGTGATTGCTAATAATACCTTGGACCGTCAGGATGCGCCGTAAACGAGAGGCGAGGGCAGTACCTTCCACCCTTTCTAGCCTTAACTCACTCCTCCTGCATTTGAACAGAAGGACATTGAGCCTATAGAGCCGCCAGTCAGCTCCCAGAGCCCACACCATCTTGGCTCCTGGGACCTCCGTCACCAGCAGAGCACCCTGCTCCGTTATGTGCAGAGAAATAAGAAAATGATAGCAGCTCGAGGCCACTAGCATCTTTCTCTCTGGAAGCTCTGACTTCCAAAGATGAAGGATCTGTCCCCAGATGGCAATTATAAGAAAAGTATATAGAAGTTTTCATGAGGCACCCAATGTGGCATTTTTACAAGATATTCAACTATAAATTACATTACCAAATCCAGCTTCATCTGGATATTTTAGTGTCATTCACCTTCTAAATGGGGAATAGAATCACCATTATAGTTGATATAATAAAGTATTATGTAACAACTTTTATTCTGTAATTTCAAAACATTAGGTACCTTATGCAATAATAATAATGGCAGATATGTATTAAGAATTACTATGTGCCTGACATTATTCTAGGCTTACATGCACTAACTCATTTAATCCTCAAAACAACTCACTGTTACAAAGAGCCAGGATTTGAACCCAGCATCTGTCTCCATACTGGGATAGATCAAGAGTCACAGGCCCTATTTCTCTAGAGAAGTGAACCTCTTACAAAGCCGCCCAAGGACTCAGAAGGAAGTTGGCCACAGCTATACTGCAAAGTGTCCCTGAACGGACTGGGAAATCTCCAGTGTTACATACGCATCATAACTGCCTTGCCTTACCTGCAGGAGTCTTCGTCTAAACAGAATATTGTTGGTTCTGAGGGAAGATATCATCAGTGATTTTCAAAAATGGAAATGGCCCCACTGTGATTCTTTAGGTTTAAAGTGCTCTTAGCAAATCCTCTAGGGTATATACCCATCCTCCACATCCCTGCATGGTACACCAAGAGCTGATGATGACACCTCACCACACGGTTACCAGCTATGCTGGAGGTTGATTTCCATCTGTAGTTCTCCTGCTGGGACCACTGGGAGAAGCAGCAGAGGATGACACTGCCTGACCCATTTGCCCTGAGCCCTTAACCACTTTCACTCCCAACAGTCAGCACCTGCGTTCTCTGTCCAAGGGCCACCCCCACCTGCCAGACCCTGCTTTGCTCCCAGGTAGAGAGAACCAGAAGGATCCTTCCAGAGCAGTTCTTGGCCAACGACTAAGGGTATGAGTGATATAAATACCTCAGCTCCCTCACTCCTGACTGGGACGACTCTGAGACATGATTACATTGTCTCCAGAGCCCCGTGCAAGATCCGCCAGAGTATCCTACCATGAAACTTGACTTGATATCGCACCCTAGCTTCATCTCCTTCCTTTCCCTATCCCACTTCTCCACTCTTACTGGATTTCCTGGAATCACTTCATAATAAATCACTTTCATGGCCATCATTGTCTTGGCTTGGCTGCTGGTGGTGAACCAAGAGGGCCAGCAGAATATGCAGCAAATCCCTCTAAAACCCCACATCTTTGTAGAATCTGAACAAGCATCTTGGGATCATTAAGTCTTCCGCTCCTCTCGTTGGAAACCTTGGTCCTATAACACAAATGGAATAATCCACTTACATTGTCCTTGCTCATCCCTGAGCTACTTACTCCCCAAAATTTTCAAAAATTACAGAGGTCAAATTATTGTGAGAGAGATGGGCACAGTGTCCTTGCATAATATTACTGAAGGAACACCCTTAATGAGGGAACACTGAACTGGTGCTCACAAAATTGTAGCTTCAACAACAAAAAAAATACAGTGGCTCAAAATGCTGGCCTGCAGCCTGGAAGCCAAACAGATTCCTCTCCTATGAAACGCCGTTCTCCAAGTGTGAGCTCTAGAAAGGATAGCCCTTCAGAGGATACTAGCCCAAACTCCTCATTTTACAGTCTTAGTTCCTCTGAATCAAATCCTTATGTTAAACATTTCTTACAGTAGTTTTAAACTTTAATTACATACTCTACCAAAGTAAAGATCAAAATCTCTACAAAGGCTCTTTTTTATTTTTTATATGAAGTATTTATTAGCATGTCTCTTTGGAATAGATTTTCATACTCCAGGCCTGAAAAGAAATTCCACATAGAAATCATTCTCAAAACACTTTTTAAATATTTGAGTTTGTCTTCCTTTCTCTTCTCATGCAATGACTTCTTAATGAGGAATAATTAAAATAGGTTCTTATTAATAAGAAGGCACTGTATTTCAAAAATATTTTTTAAATATAAAACCCTCAAGTGCACCAATGTGTATAATAGAGAAATTAAGATTCAAAGCTTCATCCATACAGAGATTCTAGACGTGGTGCATTTCCAATCAATCAACGTGGTAGTAACCAAAGATCTGCTTCATGCAATGGGTTGGCCTAACTGAATAGATATCATTACAATCTGTTAATATCCATGTAGACCAAGGAGAATGTCATCACTGTGATATGTACATGACTATGATAGTCCTGCATTTCTTTCCATCCTGGAATCTGAGTACTGATTTCCCTAAATATCTGTGATCCAAGGGATTTGAAAGAGAGTCCTCCACAATGTTCCAGAGAGAATTTCATGAGCTGTTCAACTGGACCCAGCCAGCTGCTTTAAGTTAGGACTTCACCTTGGGTGACTTGTTGAGGGGAAATCCACCCCCAGTAAAACGAGAGCCAGTTGGTTTGACCACCGGGAAGGTGTTATCCATGGATATTCTGTCCTTGTTTCTGTAAGAGAGGAGGTGAAAGTTAGCTTCCTTAACATCTTTTTCTCTCCTAAGCTTGGTGTTCTCTAAGTTCCCAGGGTGAGTGAGCTACTGAAAACTGCTTTGATTAAAGCTTCCAGTTTTAGACAAGGTGGCTGTTTAAATCTAATTAGGTGTTTGCTGATAACACAGAGAATTAGGAAAAGACACAATTAAATGTACCTTTTTAATGTTGATGTAAATATGGATTGAAGGCCTCATTATAACTCAAGCAACTATGGACCTAAGGCTTCTGACTTGTAATCATCTTCATGTTTTAGAAAACATTTGTTTAGTTCCAAAGATCAGTCAGGAGAATCTTTCTCTCGGCTCAGTTATAATGACTAATTCATCATTTATCAACTTTTGTATTCCAAAGTTCAGTGGAAACTTATAAATATTTATCATCCCCACACACGGTATCTTCATCAAACTTGGACATTTATAAAATACAAATTTTCCTGTAACTTTAGCCAAGCAGCAGTTATTAGAAATAGTTTAAGATAAAAGAAAAGCTAGGACAGGGGCTGGCCCCGTGGCCGAGTGGTTAAGTTCGCGCGCTCCGCTGCAGGCAGCCCAGTGTTTCGTCGGTTCGAATCCTGGGCGCAGACATGGCACTGCTCGTCAGACCACGCTGAGGCAGCGTCCCACATGCCACAACTAGAGGAACCCACAACGAAGAATACATAACTATGTACCGGGGGGCTTTGGGGAGAAAAAGGAAAAAATAAAATCTTTAAAAAAAAAAAAAAAAGAAAAGCTAGGACAGATAAATAAGATAGTACATTTGCTAATAGATAAAGGGAGTTCTACCCTAAAATCTGCAATGTGTCTTCTACATGGGTCTTTTTTAAATACACACACATGCACACACACACACACACACACACACAGAGGCACACACACATTCGGGTTTCCTACAGAGGTACCTTAAATTTACACAAATTACCTATTGTATAATTAGTGGTCCTATGGAAAACATCTTTGGAATCTTTTTTAAAAAATAAAAATTAAGCAAACTGCTAAGACTAAAACCAATTCTATTTGACAACTAGAACTGATTCACCTTAGGGGAGAGAATTCCACCTTTTGGAAAAGAATCTGACTGGTCCTGCAGACTCTAGACCAGCCTGGGGGTCTGGGGTAGGACACTCGGGGTGGGTGGGGGTGCAGGTCAGGACTGAGGTACAATCAAAATGATGTTTGAGAAAAAGGAAAGAAGGCAAAAAGGTAACAATTATATGAGTTGCTCTTTTAAAAGAGCATGTGTGGGGAGAACATCCACCAAGATTATTCTAAATTATTCCATTTGGACAGACCCTGTAGAGGTTAATCAATCCAGCTGTCTCTTAGCAGAATTGATTTCATTATTATAAAAAACCATCCTCCATAAATAGGACAAAAGCTTTAGCCTTGAGTGGATCCAGCAAAGAGGATTCCTTCAAGTACTTTGGCAACTTGTCCACTTCCTGACTGTTGTTAGACGCAGGTGGCCCCTCCCCCCGTCCTCTCTTGCCTTAAATACCCTAAATTTTCCTCTCTGAAGGAACTTAAGCTTAATGCTTCTGGCTTTGTCTAAGCTGACTGATGGGAATAATGTCTCCTTTATATGATCTTTTTAATGTATTTATAGACCATTACAATGACTCCCTTCAGCCTTCTTCCTTCCAGCTAAACAATCTCAGCACTTCTGTTCATGCCTCGGCACATTTTCCTTCAGACGTTAGTCTTTTTTTGCTCTTCTCCTCTGAACTTATCTTTCTACCTCCAGTTAATGGATCCCCAACTAAATGGAACCACCAGTGACAGCCTAACCATGTAAGAGCGGCTACAAGTAATGAGCATTTACGGGCAAGAAGGGGACAGATAAAAGCGAAGATTCTAGAGCTGTGCTACCCAGTAAAACCCACGATGAGGGAAAGCTCTCTCCAGGCTGCCCCGTGTGATGGCCATTAGCCACGTGTGGCTCTTAAGCACTTGAAATGTGACTGGTGCAACTAAGGAACTGAATTTTTAATTTGATTTAATTGTAATTCATTTTAATTTAAATAGCCACAGGTGGCCTAAACTGGGGGCAGTACAATCCTAGTGGATGGGCCATTGGGAAGTCCAGAACACTGTGAGGGGAATCTATAAGATCAAAGGTGACTAGGCCAAACCCCAGGGCCCAGGCAGAGAAGTTAATCAGCTCTAGAAAGATAACCAACTGTTTAGCCAAGCTATTTGGTTGTAACTGTGTAACAGACTAGACCATTGATCTCCAAAATGGAGTGCGTGAAGTCTAGGAGATGAGTGAGGTGACTCATTGGAGAACGGAAAGAAGAAATTAGAGTTTATTTATACTCATATCTTCAAAAATTAAAAATCTCGCTTTATTAACAATTACAAAGTGACAATAGTATTTGCATGTAATTTTTAAATTAAACTGGGGATAATAAACTATTCTAAAATAAAACTTTTATCTTAAAAAATATATGCATATATATTGGGGGGTGTGGTGCTGCAAGTTCAAAAATGTTTTACTGCTAAGGGTGTGCAATCAAAAAGCTTGAAGGCCACTGCGCTAGACGCTTGCCTCACGTGGCGACTAGCCATGTTGACATTTTACAAGCACAACCTTGGTGTCCCAAAAGAAAACAACAGTGTTTCCACTCTAACATTCATTTAATTCTCATCATTAAGATCAGTGGTTCTCAAACTTCAGTGTGCCTGGAAATCACTGGCAAGGCGAGTAAACTGCTGATTTCTGAGGCCCATCCAGAGCCTCTGAATCCAAATACCTGGAAATGGGGCCTGCGAACCTGCACGTTTAACAAATCTCACTAGTGATTCTGAAATCAGATAGTTGCTAGACCTTCACGTTCAGAGAGACTCATCTAAATTAGCTATAATTTTTAGCAGAATTTTATTCTTCCAAGGAACTGGCGTCTAAATGTGGAATAAAGGAATATTCTGATTTACAAGAAGGGTAGGTTTTTACTGGTAAATGAATTTGCATCCAGTTACTTTAAATAGCTGTTGGCCACTAATGAATCATAGGCAGATGCATTCAAACCCTCTTTAACCACGTCCCTGAAATGCCCATGGGGATGAAATACCAAACTTGATGTTCAATCCATAATATGAGCCACTACAGAATTAACTGGATGATTTGGGCAATGCCACACAGCCAAAACAAGGTTCAAACCTACTGACTCCTTTGGGCCCATTCTCTCACCCTACGATTAGGCAAATTCTGATAACAAAGTGAAGAGAACATTTACTCTTTGACATATAGGTATCCTGAAACTCAAAATGTTAACTTGACATCTGCATTATCATCTCATAGAGGAACAAGAGCTCACAGCCATACCCCACAGCAGATACTGAAGTCAGTTACCAGACTCAGAGATAGTGTATCTAAAACAAAGGTGAAAATTCTTCATGAGCTGCTCATAATTACAGTGGTACAGCTCTATTATTAGAAAGAACAACTTTACCAAGCCTAGACCCCTTAGCAAAATTACCTGTGGTTTTACATGTGAATATGCTTCAGCCTGCACAAGGCTGATTGTGAACCTCATTTGCAAACATAGTTATGGCATGATTATCTCCAAACCATGAGAACAGTGTGGGAAAAAAATCACCTGATATTTCTTCTGCTCCATGTTGGGTCCACCAGTGGACAAATATTAATGGATCCCTCTTAGGTCCTAAGGAGGGTCCTCAGTGTCGCATGAGACACCCATTGCACTCTGATACGGACCCAGTGAGAGAGCTGTAGAATGTCATTTGTTCACCCTGTGACTTGGTTTACCCTCATGAAATCTGTCACTCTATGACTATTCACCAAATACTTTCCTATCAGCAGGTAATAGGCACAATAAAATTAGAAGAACATTTGACTAATTCTTACTTCTGAATGTGTTCTCTGCGTTTCTGAGCGAGGTATTTCTTCTTTAACTCCAGCAGTTCATTGGTAAGTTTCTCAATCTCATACTTATATTCTTGGCTCTGTGATTCATACATATTCAATTCTGAAGACAAAACCTAGTGTGGGAAAGAAAGCAGCGTCAACAGAAGATACAATGTGAGACAATATCCTTTTCTGAAAAATCTTTTAATCTGCTGCCGTTTACCTCAGGGGGACCGGAGATACAAAACCATCCCCAAGTTTGAGGTCTACCCAGTCAATCTACACACTTCTACCAACTCAAGACCTGTATCTGGGTAGAAAAGTGGGCTGAGAGCTGAGGACTCATAATCCAGGGACAAACTTAAATGAAATCTCAACCCCTGGTTAAGGGAGAACTGCAGGCAACATTCAACAGGGTCACACGTGAGTGGTGTAATGTGTTTCAAGGAACATTGTGAGCAGAGACAGGAAAACTCCCAGACATACAGCATAAAATTGCTTTTAAAGCTTTTTTTAAAAGCATTCAAGAAAGATACCACTAGAGAGCGTGATTCATCTGAAGATTATGGTAAAAATTATTCTAGAATCATCCTGCCACCACCACCACTAACCAGGCATTCAATTTATGTGTTTTCCAAGGTAGCTCTTGTACTGAATGTCTGTCACCTCTGGATTGTATTCTTTGGGACTATTCACACTTTCTCTCTGTATCCCAGCACTGGGACACTTACCTCTAAGAAGCAGGGAGCTCTGACACATGCACATGGGGGGGACTGGAATTGGCCACCCCAAAATATGTCTCTTTGGCATGAGGATTATTTGGGGCTGGTTACTTTTAATAAACTGCAGACAGGAAAGGAACTCTGAGAAGCAGGGTTTACTTACCCTTTGTTAAGAAACATTTACATTATAAAGAAAATCTCCATCTGCAAAGGTGTCTCCCTCTCTGTACCAGGAAGAAGGGGGATGACCTTATCTCTAGAAACTCTTATCTCTAGAAACTCTTATCAATACAGAAGGCAAGGACTTAAATCTGCCTAATAATCTTATTCCTGTTTACTGTGCTTGTCTGGTAACCTCCTGTAACTGACTCCCCCCACCCCCAACATCCTCCTTTGTCTTTAGCTGAAGATGATATTTAAGGTGGGGGCTTTGGCCATTTTGGTGAGTTGCTCAGGTTGCCTGAGCCTCTCCCATGTATACATGTTGTAAAGCTTTGTTTGATTTTCTCCTGTTATTCTGTCTCATGTGAATTTAATTTGTTCTCTGGCCAGTAGAACCCAGAGTGGGTAGAGGAAATGTCTTCCTCCCCTACACACAGGAGAGTCTAATGCATGTGAGGGTCTGTCCTAAGAAAGCAGATTATCTGCCCTTCCATTGTGGTGGTCAATACAGGCCACTGGTGTCAGGCTGGCCAAGCAGAGTGGGAATTGACTCATCTGAACAGAACATGGAAAGCACACCAAAGGCAGGGGCACTCCCCACAAAAACCGAGGGGAGAAAAGGAAGGTAAGGGGCATGCAGTAGACTCCATTTGTTTTCCTCTCCCTTGCTATTTTAAAATTTTTCATGGGGGGAGGTCTTTGTCTTTTGAGTGTTTATCTGCTTCTGAACTCTTTCCTCTTAATTGCTGTGAAAACGATTCTATGTTATCACGAGTTAAAGAATATGATTTTCATGTTGGAAGAAAACCTGTCTTGATAGTTAAACTCTTGGGGACAAAGACTCTGTTTCCAAACAATGAATATAGAATTTCCTAAGAGTCCAGATAATAAGGACAAACTGGTGGACAGGCTCTCGGCCTCACCCATCTCTGAACCTCTTTCACCTGGGGGTCATGTTTCATTCAGAGCAAAAATCTGGATTTCCTGAGATAAAGGGTTAAAGTAACAAAAGGCTGCTATGAGCCATTGAATGCAACCCAGCCCTGTGTGTGGCTCTCTGACCACAGTGCAAAGACAGATGCATGCCCTTCTAATCTACACTCACCCCTGAGAAAAAGAGAAAATAAGTTTTTACTTTGTTTGAAATATTCGATTGTTTAAAGGGATGAAAATAATCAAAAGATTATGCCTCACGCAAAACTCAAATTATGTCTCAGGATACTCATGTGACATGAACACTCAGAGTGATAAGTTGAAAATGAACATTCTAATTAGACTTCTATTTCATCTGCTTTTTTTAAGTAAAAGGATGTGATTTTACAACGTTCTATCCATAAGAGGATTAGTGCCATATTAGTAGCGTGGCCTCTTTTTTACCCCAGGCAGAAAGGCACCGATTATTACCCTCATTGCACAGGTAAATGCTGGAATTCAGCTGGCATGTGCTACATTCTATGCGCGTGTGTGTATAAGACTAACCTGACCCGCCAAGAATACCTAAGTCCTCACTTAGGAGTTAAAGCTCAAAATACAGCGGGAACACACAGTTTTTGAGAAAACTTTAAAAAGGCACATGTACTAGTAAAATATTCCCTCTCCTTAACTGAGGTTGTTATGTTACTTAGAAGAGAATTTATGCTAATAGAATTCCTGCATGATTTTATTTCCCTTTCACGGCTGTTTATTTGACAGATGGTCATGGAGCCAGGCCCTGGGGGCTGGGGAGTAGCCTGTGCTTTGTGTACATTTATTTCAGGTGGAATAGAATAGCGAAAACCTGATCCAGCACAGTAGTCTGCTTCAGTGGGCAATGTTGTTAAAATATTTCCTCTGCTCTTCCCCACCATCCAAGTTCTCTAAATCACCTTGAGATCATCCATCATCCCCCCAAATTTCCACTCCATTGCCATCACCCTCTCCTCAACTCTTTCCTCATTTGCTCACCTCCTTCTTTCAGGAAATGGAGACTCGTGGGGTCTTTTCGTCTAGGAGCAGAGGGGTAGCTCTGAGACCTCCCCTGCTCCTCCCGGGACTGGAGTGCTAAAAAGCTGACCTCGGTGGATTATGGCATTTGGGAGCCTGCCTCATTGTGCCGAGGTAGTGGACTTGTCCAGGTGTGTTCCCCAGCGTGTGGCCATCCTTTGGCCAGCAAAGAACAGAGGGCACCACTTACTTTAAGCTGCTTGGTCTTCTCCCGCAGTGTGTGGCGGTAGATCTGCAGCTGCTCTGCCGCCTCCGGCCCAGGCTGCCGGGCCAGGATGTGCTTTAGTTCCACATACAGCTTCTCCTTTTCCTGGTGGAGAGCAGAACCACAAGCGGAGATAAACAACCCCATCAAGACAAGGAAAGTGCCTTTCACAGCATGAATCACAGGATGATTTGGGACCGCTCTAAGTTATGCCATAGCTCCACACTGATTGCATTCACCTATAGATTCAATCAATCATACACCAAACTAACCCTGATCAAGGGCCTAGGATGTGCCCAGCACCTGGATACAAATAATAAGATAAATGAGGAAGAGAAAGTCCCTCTCTACCTAAACTTATAATCACATAACTGAGAGACAAGGGCAATGATGGAAGATCTTCACAAAGTGTTGAGGTCAGGAAAAGCAGGGAGGGACTAACTCCGGTTGGAAGAGTTAGGGGGAGATGTCACAAAAATGTCATTTGAAATGTCCCTTGAAGAAGGAACAGGAGTTTTCTCCAAGAAGAGAGAGAAAAGAAGAGCTTTTCAGGCTGAGGTTCAGTGATAGGACAGGGCAGTGGTAGGTCCAGCTCAGCAGGTGCATAGGGCAGGAGGAGGGAGAAACAGAGAGAACGGCTGGCCTCACAGGTGGGGACCAGACTGTGTGTGTCACACAGGACGTGGTTTGGGACCACATCCTTTAGGCAATGGGGAGCCAAGGATGAGCCACGCCAGGATTTGTCTTTGGAGGAGTAACTCCAGCAGGAAAGCAGAGAATAGGGTGAGGAGACTGTTTGGGACATCAGTATTTGCAGAAGATGAAGAAAGCAGGAAATAGGGCAACTAGAATAGAAAGTAGGTAGGTGTGAAGATATTCTTGAGGTAGAATCAGTGGGATTTGGTGAATGATCAGATAAGTGAAGAAGGAAGGAGCAGGAGCCAAGATGACTCCAAAGTCTCTAACATGGATGAGTGGGGCTGGAGGGTGATGGTAACAGAGGCAGGGAGGCTAGGAGAAGGTGTGGGCTGAGGGGGAAAAGAATCGTTACTGCATTCTCTTCCGGTAATCACTGGGTTCTGGATACATTGAGCTTGAGGCACTGTAGCTTATCTAGAAGAGGAGTTGAAAATATAGCCCCAGAGTTGAGAACTAAGGAGCAAGTTGGAGCCAGAGGTGGGTCAATGAGAGTGGATCCATCAACCAGGGATGGCTCACAGGGTGGGCCAGGACAACCAGATCTTTGGGAGAACCAGCATATAAAGAGTGGGTAAGTAAGAAAGCCCCAGAAAAGGAGAATGAGGGAGAGTAATTGAACGTCTCCAAAGGCAAGAAAGGCAGACGTTTCAAAGGGGAGGAATGATTTGAGCAGTCAGGACATCAAATGGGGTAAAGAGAAGAAAGAGGAGAGGGACTGAAAATGGCCTTTGGGTGGGCTGTTAGGTCAGCACCAGTGGCCTCAGGAAGGCTGCAGTAATATTTTGGGAGCAAAAGTCGCAGAGGTTGAAGAAAAAACAAGAAGAAGGAAGTAAAGAAAGTGAGTCTTTTAAGAAATACGACATGGGAAAAGGAGAGATCTGGAAATGGTTTGAGGGAAGATGTAAAAATCCAGGAAAATTAGGATATGCAAATTTGTAGAACTAAAAGAAAGGACCTCCCAGGAACCCAAAGCAAATCATAATTCTGTAACTTAAATTAACCAATAAACACTATGGAATTCCCATTTGGATCCTGAAGTTTAATTGCTTGTAATGTGTTTTCAGATCCTTGAACTGAAGGTATTACACACCAGCAAAGATTTATTTCTAAGGCATCTCAATTCTACATTCTCATTTCTCTAAACTGCAATAATTTGAACAAACATTGATAAAGACTAGTGTGTCTGCTCATTTGCCTCTCTACATATTTATTTCCTTAAGGTAATTGTGTTAAAGAAAAAAAATACAAGTAAAAGCCCTCTCATTAAATGAAACACCCAGTCAAACGGAAACTAATTTTTATCCAAAGCTAAGTATTCTTAGCATTGTCATCCAATAATCTGTTTTTGCCAGAGAACATAAAAGTCATAAATAGAATAGGTAAAAGAAAATTCATTCACTAGTCACTGTTACCATTTGTTTTAGCTTTTCCTTTTCCCTGACCAAATTATAGGAACTTTATTACAAATAACATGGCTCTACTTTCAAAAGAGTGTATGCAACTTAAAAATTGGTTGGGTGGAGAAAGCTTCTGAAGAAACACATATCAAAATAATTTTCACCATTTAAGAAATAATTCCAGAAATGACAAAGGAACCCAAAAGCCCACGCGAAAGAAGAAAACTTGAACAAATAGAATTACAAAGTGGTGATTTTCCTTTGCTGTACAACACTTCCTGTCACACCTTCCAATAAAATCTTCCCAGTAAATGGATATAGCAAGCAATGAGAAAGATATCAGGAGGTGAGTTTATTTTCTATAGCCACTTAACGCCTGCTCTGTTGGAAAAATAGCACTTCTGCCAAGGCTTCAAGATTCAATTTGGAGAGGGTAATAAATATGTGGAGAAGCCCATGAAATTGTTTTGTTGTTTCTTTCAGTTTACCTTTCTCTGCACCAGAATATGAGGAGACTTGAAAAGTAAAGAATCCCACAATGATGAGGGGGAAGCAATTTGGTTTGGGACATAATCATGTCTTAAACTGAGGAGACCATCTTAGTCCAAGAACCTTCCAGTGTTTCACAGGCGGACTTCTTTTCAGTTGCTCCTGGTAGGGATGGAGGAAAGAGACACGGAGAAGAAAGGCTGGAGGAAGTAAACATTGTTACCTCACCTCATAGGTGAGAATCCCAAGGTCAACAGGAATGAATAGTGTGTCCAAAGTGTGACAAGACAAAAATCTAGTCGTGGTATACTCGAGTCACTTTTCCCATGCAACACCTCCTCTGGGGCTTGAATTCATTTTACAGCCCAGAAAGAATCTGGATCAAATTGAGCTATATAATTCCTAAGGCTATGTGACAACATCAATAGAAGAATGGAACCAGAAGGTGAAATCAGGTTTATAGCCAGGTTAGAGGGTGTTAGAGGCAAGAGCATGACTCGGCTCCCCCATCTCCTGGCCTACGCCATCCAGATGAGCCCCCTACGCATGTCCTCTAACAAGGCGTGCAATCTTTATATACAGAGTGAACGATGTTGCCATTTATCCTGTCTTTTTCTATCACTTCCTGGTTTTTTCTCAAGGCTGTAAAATGAATTGAAATGGGTTTATTCCAAAGGATAAACTGAGCGACTGAACAGTGAGGGCCCACAAGTGTGGAGAGAAAAGTGAAGAAACTGAGTGAATTACCATTAAAACTGTTGGAGTAGTCAAAGTCAAAAAGCTCTAAGAGTTAAATAATCCAGGACAAGTGATGCATGTGTGTTCATGGTGGGTGGAAAGAATACCAAATGAAACTCCAGGGACTAAGAGAGTGGAAGTACGAATAGCAGGGGGAGAGAGGATGGGGGTAGTGGTTGAAATGCACTGCCAGGATTCAACATGCATGAATTTTGCTCTGTGCTCACAACAGAAAACCTAACTGAAACAACCAAAGTGAAGGCTGGTCAGCATTAACATTCTAGCTGTGTGTATCATACAGATTTGTATTTTGAGAGAACGTGCTAGTAATTTAGATAAATATGGAGTGTTTGATGGATTGACGGTCTTAAGTACGATTGTTTTTCAATTTATTTCTCTCCTAACCCTCTACAAGGGCCAACCAAGCTCTTCAAACATTGTGCAATGGTGTGTATAATAACACCATTTAGAGACAAAGCGTGCAATTCTATTATAAAGAGAATCTATCTTATGCAACAGAGACTCATTAGCTGTCCGATGTATATTGTCTCCATAAGCCAGCAGTGGCAGAACCAGCTGCCTTGTAATATACATGCTGTCCTTCTTCATTAAGCCACATCCATTTCTTTTCAAACTAAGTCAATTAATTTGTCACCGGGTTAGAAGCACCATATGTCACTGAAACATCAGAAGAAAATCATAAATAGTGTATTATTTCCCCACCAACAAGAGATTGCATCCTCAGGTTGGCATTTCTTTATTTATTCAGACTTTGTTCATGACATACATCAATACTACTTTGTAGCATGCCTCACTCTTTAAATTATTTTATGAATAGCTATACTGGGAAGAAGCTAGACTATTAACACCAAGAAACTAGCTTTTTCTTGGGCTGAGCTTGTCTTGCAAGCATTAACAATACTGCGTCCATTCTTGAAATGATGTTCTCTTGCTAGACATCCCATTCTCTCAGCTGGACAAACTGTCAGCCGTGGTTATGGATTCTTTTGCTGCAAGAGTCTCTGCCACGTTACGCTGGATAATAGCACAGCTTATTGTCAATATCGGCTGAGTACAGTGGTAAGAAATTAATTACAGTATTAGCTTCAAATAATGCTGTCATTACATGGTGACAGTTTGTAACCCCGTATTGGAAACTCCAGATATGGAATCACTCACACTTCAGGTATTTGTATTTTCTGTGACAATAAATTAAAAGTCTACATTCTGAACAGTCTATGCAAATGAGAGTCAGTGCTATTCTGGGTACAATTCAGAGGAAAAAACTGAGTTGCTCACAGAACTCCTTTCCCCACTGAGCTACAATTTTATATTCACTTTCAGTTTATATTCCCTGTCTTTTGCTTTGCATCTTCAGCTGAAAACAGAAGGTAGTTCACATTCAGTGTGCACCTTAACACTTCTTCCTCCTCAGCTCGCCTACTCAAGGCAATAACTGACTAAGAGGAACTAATTTATTCTGCCTTAATCTGAATCTGTGTTTGGCAAATGCCAGTGCATTGATCCTGCTCAGCCTGGATTCATGAACTTGCTTGGGCGAGTGTTGGGAATAACTGCCTCACCCCGTGAACTGGAGAACTCATGTGAAACAGGCAGCTTTCGTGCTGATCCAAAGACACAAGCTTATCTAGACCCACCAGGATGAGAGTCACCCACTCAGAAGGTTGGATACCATGTTCTCCAAGGAAACAGACTCTGTCTTGTCTTCAACTCCAGCTCACCCAATGGGTTCAAGATGAAGCTGATTTAAAAAAACCAAAA